ACACACACCAAAATTTATTTATTTATTTATTTAGTAATTTTAGCATACATACAGAGGTACAAAAAAATACAGGTAAGAGCAGCATGCCAAAGCCACTTATATGCATAGCATTACGGGCTGGCTTAAAATTAACTTAAGATTAACTAAGCAATGATGAAATCAGTGATAAAACATTATTGTAAACAGATAACTATAAAGCACAAATGAGTATTACAAAGGCAGGTCATATGGTTGCTTGCATTGCTGTTCATTCAGTCGAATGGAGTATTCTGTTAGGTAGTGTATTTAAAAAAATAATAAAGTTAGATTGGGTCCTAGGTTTAACATTTGAGTGATATAATTGTGAGTAACATTTAGGATATACAATTTATAAGGTTCAGTTATTCAGTATTTATTTGGTTTTGAGTGAGTAAGTGATCTTTGAGAAGAGACTTGAATTTATAAACAGGTAGTGTTTCTTTTATATTTACAGGAAATGAATTCCAGATTATAGGGCCTTTTATGTGCATTGAGTTTTTGCATAGCGTGAGATGGACACGAGGAACATCAAAGAGTGATCTGTGCCTTGTGTTATGGTCATGTGTTCTGTTGAGGTTGGCAAGGAGATGTTTGAGGGGAGGGTTAATATCAGAGTTAAGTGTTCTATGTATGTAATAGGTGCAGTAATAAGTATGGATGTTTTGTATGGTGAGTAGGTTGAGTGTTTTAAATATTGGTGGAGTGTGCTGCCTGTAGTGAGAATTTGTTATCATTCCAACTGCAGCCTTTTGTTGGGTAATTAGTGGTCTGAGATGGTTAGTTGTTGTTGAGCCCCATGCACAAATTTCATAGGTAAGATAGGGGTAAATAAGAGAGTGATAAAGGGCCAGGAGGGCTGACTGTGGAACATAGTACCGTATCTTCGATAGTATGCCTACAGTCTTGGAAATTTTCTTAGAAATTTGTTGTATATGTGTATGAAATTTGAGTCTATTATCAAGGTGGATTCCTAGGAATTTTCCCTCTGTTAGCTTTGTGATAGGTGATCTGTTAATGACACTTGAACAAGACACACACGCACACCAGACTGCCACTGGAACAAGACACACACACCACACACACACACACACACACACAACACACACACACACACACACACACACACACACACACACACACCAGACTGACACTGGAACAAGACACACACACCAGATTGACACTGGAACAAAACACACACACACACCAGACTGACACTGGAACAAGACACACACACCAGACTGACACTGGAACAAGACACACACACCAGACTGACACTGGAACAAGACACACACACCAGACTGACACTGGAACAAGACACACACACTAGACTGACACTGGAACAAAACACTCACACCAGACTGACACTGAAACAAGCCACACGCACACCAGACTGACAGTGGAACAAGACACACACACACCAGACTGACACTGGAACAAGACACACACACACACGCACACCAGACTGACGCTGGAACAAGACACATACACTAGACTGACACTGGAACAAGATACTCACACCAGACTGACACTGAAACAAGACACACGCACACCAGACTGACAGTGGAACAAGACACACACACCAGACTGACACTGGAACAAGACACACACATACACCAGACTGACACTGGAACAAGACCCACATACGAGACTGACACTGGAACAAGACACACACACCAGACTGACACTGGAACATGACACACACACACCAGACTGACGCTAAAACAAGACACATGCACCAGACTGATACTGGCACAAGACACACACACCGGACTGACACTTATGACGACGTTTCGCTCCTGTTGGCATCATTAATTAACTTGAACATTAAAATGGTATAAAATACCGACAGGTTGTTAGGTAAGACACATATGCAACAGTTAGGTAACTTTATTTCGAAACGTTTCGCCTGCACAGTAGGCTTCTTCAGTCGAGTACAGAAAAGTTGATAGAAGCAGAAGAGACTTGAAGACGATGTAATCAGTCCATCACCCTTAAAGTTTTGAGGTGGTCAGTCCCTCAGTCTGGAGAAGAGCATTGTTCCAAAGTCTGAAACAATATTGTTTCAGACTTTGGAACAATGCGAAACGTTTCGAAATAAAGTTACCTAACTGTTGCATATGTGTCTTACCATTAATTAACTTGTTAATTTATGGTCCTTTTTAACTTGCAATGTATTTTGCTTAATTTACTTAACTTACTTGTTTTATTAACTGTTCTTACTATATTTACTTACATAATTTATTTATTTATTTAGCTACTTTACTTGCTTATTTATTTTCTCAGTACTTAAAAAATGACGCTATCATACACATGCTAGAACTAATATATACCGCACTCGAAAAGAAAGAAGTCTCGCTGGGCATTTTCATTGATTTACGTAAAGCTTTTGATACAGTCGACCATGAACTGCTGTACTCCGAATTAACGCACTATGGTATCAGATGCCACTCCCTCAACTACCTAAAACCATCCCTTAGTAGGAGAACTCAATATGTGTATGCAAATGGTGCAAACTCTTCCACCCAACCAATCACAGTAGGAGTCCCACAAGGAAGCGTTCTTGGACCACTCCCCTTTCTCATCTACATCAACGATCTACTGAATGCATCACAGCTACTTAAACCCATATTATTTGCAGATGACACTACATACGTCTTCTCGCATCCAAACACAGTCATACTAACAAACACTGTCAATGCCGAATTACAGAAAATATCTGCCTGGATGATGACTACTAAACTTACCCTGAATACGGATAAAACATATTTCATTCAGTTTGGAAACAAAGCTGCAAATGATCCACTTAACATAACGCTAAACGAATCACCAGTCACAAGACTTGAAGAGGAAAAACTCCTAGGTATCCACCCTGACAGCCTTAAGTTCCGGACACATACAACAAATCACCAAGAAAATCTCCAAGACTGTAGGCATACTATCAAAGAAAAGGTACTACGTTCCACAATCAGCTCTCCTGGCACTGTACCTTTCACTCATATACCCTTGTCTCACATATGGAATTTGTGCATGGGGATCAACAACACTAAATCACCTAAAACCCCTAATAACCCGGCAAAAGGCAGCAGTCAGAATGATAACAAATTCCCACTCCCGACAGCATACTCCACCAATTTTCAAAAGTCTGAATCTGCTCACCATTAAGAACATCCATACTTATTCATGTGTCTACTACATACACAGAACAATACACACAAATATAAACCCTCCACTCAACCTTATCCTCACCAACCTTAACAGGACACATGACCACAACACAAGACACAGATCTCTTTTTGATATACCTCGTGTCCATATCATACTGTGTTAAAACTCTATGCACATAAAGGGCTCCAAAATATGGAATTCCTTACCAGAAGATACTAAAGTAACCCGGTCTCAAAGTCAATTTAAGACTCTTCTCAAAAGCCACTTAATCACCCTAGACTAAATGCTCAATATTCAGTACACACATACTCAATACATATTCCCTTATCATAATTTCAACAATCACTTTGAACCTTTTATCGATTGTTGACAGGAATATAATTGAATCATTGTTTTCACAAAAAGCATTTTTGAATATATGAATATATCTTTTGTCTTATATAAATTAGATTCACTTATAATTAATAATCTACTGTACAACTATGACCTGGGAGTGATTATGTCGGAGGATCTCACCTTCAAGGACCATAACATTGTATCAATCGCATCTGCTAGAAAAATGACAGGATGGATAATGAGAACCTTCAAAACTAGGGAGGCCAAGCCCATGATGACACTCTTCAGGTCACTTGTTCTATCTAGGCTGGAATATTGCTGCACTCTAACAGCACCTTTCAAGGCAGGTGAAATTGCCGACCTAGAAAATGTACAGAGAACTTTCACGGCACGCATAACGGAGATAAAACACCTCAATTACTGGGAGCGCTTGAGGTTTCTAAACCTGTATTCCCTGGAACGCAGGAGGGAGAGATACATGATTATATACACCTGGAAAATCCTAGAGGGACTAGTACCGAACTTGCACACGAAAATCACTCACTACGAAAGCAAAAGACTTGGCAGACGATGCAACATCCCCCCAATGAAAAGCAGGGGTGTCACTAGCACGTTAAGAGACCATACAATAAGTGTCAGGGGCCCGAGACTGTTCAACTGCCTCCCAGCACACATAAGGGGGATTACCAACAGACCCCTGGCAGTCTTCAAGCTGGCACTGGACAAGCACCTAAAGTCAGTTCCTGATCAGCCGGGCTGTGGCTCGTACGCTGGTTTGCGTGCAGCCAGCAGCAACAGCCTGGTTGATCAGGGGCTGATCCACCAGGAGGCCTGGTCACAGACCGGGCCGCGGGGGCGTTGACCCCCGAAACTCTCTCCAGGTAAACTCCAGGTGATATAATTCTTAGTGTTAAGTAGTTAGTAAGCCAATAATGTTAAGTCGGCCCATAATGCCTAGGCATAATAGAGGCCCTCATTGCATTGCAACCCATTATTGTAAATACATAATCTCAATGTAATATTTGCAAAGACATAAATAAATAAAATAAATACTTTATTACCTTGACTTTTGAATTTTGAAATTCCATCTGGTTCCCGCCAAATTCATGCATATTTCTAAGAATGGCTTCAGATAATTTATGTTTTTATCTACAGTGTCTTATAGTTTCGGTAAAGCATTCTGACAATATTTATATAAGAATTCAATATCAGAAATATAATTATCTTGTTATTTACTGATGAATATTATTCGATTTGTATTTAAATTTGTAGTCTAGGCCAGAAGTGCAGGATACGAACAAGTAAACAAAGATGTTTTGTTTTATAAGTCTATATATCGAGTCAAAGAGCCAAATCTTGTTATATTCTTATAGATTTAGAGACATAATAGTTTTATTTCAAGTGGTAGTGTCGGTGATAGTGGTGTTATTAGTGGTGGTTGTGGTAGTTGCGCTTGGCGGTCTTCATGGCAGTGGCGGCCATGATGGCCGCCAATGTTGTGATGTCTTGAGTGGTGGCAACATGGCCGGCCTCGACCTTAACAACGGCCTCCGGGACGCCCTCATAGACAACCTAAACAACATCCTCTCGCCTCAGGCCGACGTCCGACGTGCAGCTGAGGAACAGATCCACGTGCTGGAGGTGACGGAAGGTGAGATTACCGGACGGGAGGGGAGAAATAAGAGGCAGAAGTGACAATGGTCGCCACCACCGAAGTTCACCTCCCTACCCGCGCAACCTTCCCTTATTTCACACACCTTTTTTTTTTTTCCCTCTCATTAGCGCCAGTAATATGTATGAACTCGGGCAGACATTCCATAATTTGTTTGTCTCTTGCCGTGCAAATGGGAATTGTGCTCATTTCTCTTGTGTGGTTTTAAGTGAAGAAAGTTAGCGCTTGTGGCATGCGTGTTTGTGTTATTTTGTTATTTAATGTTTGTGTTTGTTATCGTGACATGACTTTTCCCCACAGTGACGAACAACAACCTGACAGTGACTGTACTCGCTGACAGTGACTGTACTCGCTGACAGTGACTGTACTCACTGACAGTGACTGTACTCACTGACAGTGACTGTACTCACTGAGTGACTGTACTCGCTGACAGTGACTGTACTCACTGACAGTGACTGTACTCACTGACAGTGACTGTACTCACTAAAGTGACTGTATCATTCGATTTGACAGTGACTGTACTCACTGACAGTGACTGTACCCCACTGACAGTGAACTGTACTCACTGACAGTGACTGTACTCACTGAGTGACTGTACTTGCTGACAGTGACTGTACTCGCTGACAGTGACTGTACTCACTGAGTGACTGTACTCGCTGACAGTGACTGTACTCGCTGACAGTGACTGTACTCGCTGACGAGATGACTGTACTTCCACTGACAGTGACTGTACTCACTGAGTGACTGTACTTGCTGACAGTGACTGTACTCGCGCTGACAGTGGGACTGTGTACTCACTAAAGTGACTGTACTCACTGACAGTGACTGTACTCACTGACAGTGACTGTACTCACTGACAGTGACTGTACTCGCTGACAGTGACTGTACTCGCTGACAGTGACTGTACTCGCTGACAGTGACTGTAGTCACTGACAGTGACTAGTCACTGACAGTGACTGTAGTCACTGACAGTGACTGTACTCACTGACAGTGACTGTACTCACTGACAGTGACTGTACTCACTGACAGTGACTGTACTCGCTGACAGTGACTGTACTCGCCGACTGACTCTACTCACTGACAGTGACTGTACTCGCTGACAGTGACTACTCGCTGACAGTGACTGTACTCGCTGACAGTGACTGTACTCGCTGACAGTGACTGTACTCACTGAGTGACTGTACTCACTGACAGTGACTGTACTCACTGACAGTGACTGTACTCACTGACAGTGACTGTACTCACTGACTGACTACTCGCTGACAGTGACTGTACTCGCTGACTGACTACTCGCTGACAGTGACTGTACTCACTGACAGTGACTGTACTTGCTGACTGACTACTCGCTGACAGTGACTGTACTCACTGACAGTGACTGTACTCACTGACAGTGACTGTACTCACTGACAGTGACTGTACTCACTGACAGTGACTGTACTCGCTGACTGACTACTCGCTGACAGTGACTGTACTCACTGACAGTGACTGTACTCACTGACTGACTACTTGCTGGCAGTGACTGTACTTGCTGACAGTGACTGTACTTGCTGACAGTGACTGTACTTGCTGGCAGTGACTGTACTTGCTGGCAGTGACTGTACTCACTGACAGTGACTCTACTCGCTGGCAGTGACTGTACTTGCTGACAGTGACTGTACTTGCTGACTGACTGTACTCGCTGACAGTGACTGTACTCGCTGGCAGTGACTGTACTTGCTGGCAGTGACTGTACTCACTGACAGTACTTGCTGGCAGTGACTGTACTCAATGACAGTACTTGCTGGCAGTGACTGTACTCGCTGGCAGTGACTGTACTCGCTGGCAGTGACTGTACTCGCTGGCAGTGACTGTACTCGCTGGCAGTGACTACTTGCTGGCAGTGACTGTACTCGCTGATAGTGACTGTACTCGCTGACAGTGACTACTCGCTGACAGTGACTGTCCTCGCTGGCAGTGACTCCTCGCTGGCAGTGACTGTCCTTGCTGGCAGTGACTGTCCTCGCTGGCAGTGACTGTCCTCGCTGACAGTGACTGTACTCGCTGGCAGTGACTGTACTCGCTGGCAGTGACTGTACTCACTGGCAGTGGCTGTACTCACTGGCAGTGACTGTACTCGCTGGCAGTGACTGTACTCGCTGGCAGTGACTGTACTCGCTGGCAGTGGCTGTACTCACTGGCAGTGACTACTCACTGGCAGTGACTACTCACTGGCAGTGACTACTCACTGGCAGTGGCTGTACTCACTGGCAGTGGCTGTACTCACTGGCAGTGACTACTCACTGGCAGTGGCTGTACTCACTGGCAGTGACTACTCACTGGCAGTGGCTGTACTCACTGGCAGTGACTGTACTCGCTGACAGTGACTGTACTCACTGACAGTTACTACTCGCTGACAGTGACTGTACTTGCTGGCAGTGACTACTCGCTGACAGTGACTGTACTTGCTGGCAGTGACTACTCGCTGACAGTGACTGTACTTGCTGGCAGTGACTACTCACTGACAGTGACTGTACTTGCTGGCAGTGACTGTACTTGCTGGCAGTGACTGTACTCACTGACAGTGACTGTACTTGCTGGCAGTGACTGTACTCACTGGCAGTGACTGTACTTACTGGCAGTGACTGTACTCACTGACAGTGACTGTACTTGATGGCAGTGACTGTACTCACTGACAGTGACTGTACTTGCTGGCAGTGACTGTACTCACTGACAGTGACTGTACTTGCTGGCAGTGACTGTACTCACTGACAGTGACTGTACTCGCTGGCAGTGACTGTACTCGCTGACAGTGACTGTACTTGCTGGCAGTGACTGTACTCACTGACAGTGACTGTACTTGCTGGCAGTGACTGTACTCACTGACAGTGACTGTACTCGCTGGCAGTGACTGTACTCGCTGACAGTGACTGTACTCGCTGGCAGTGACTGTACTCGCTGACAGTGACTGTACTCGCTGGCAGTGACTGTACTCGCTGACAGTGACTGTACTCGCTGGCAGTGACTGTACTCGCTGGCAGTGACTGTACTCGCTGGCAGTGACTGTACTCGCTGGCAGTGACTGTACTCGCTGGCAGTGACTGTACTCGCTGGCAGTGACTGTACTCGCTGGCAGTGACTGTACTCGCTGGCAGTGACTGTACTCGCTGGCAGTGACTGTACTCGCTGGCAGTGACTGTACTCGCTGGCAGTGACTGTACTCGCTGGCAGTGATTGTACTCGCTGGCAGTGACTGTACTTGCTGGCAGTGACTGTACTCACTGACTGTACTTGCTGGCAGTGACTGTACTCACTGACTGACTGTACTCTGACAGTGACTGTACTCGCTGGCAGTGATTGTACTCACTGGCAGTGACTGTACTCACTGACTGTACTCGCTGGCAGTGACTGTACTCGCTGCCAGTGACTGGCAAATATATAAAACAAATGAAAACATGGTCACATTCATACTAAAAAGTAAGATTTCACGAGGATTTATGCAACTTAAGAATAGCAAAGTATCAAGTCCTGGGTCCTCTGTTAATACTTGTATGTGTGAATGACCTGCCTAATGCTGCCAGGAACTTGAACTAGTCTTCTGTGCCTATAATGCAACCTTTATCATATCACATCCAAATCCTGTTGTTTTTAAACCCGTGGGATTGCTCATGACTCGGTTGGCAGCGTTCTCATTTCACGCACTTATTTACTGGGATCATTTCCCGGGAGGTGCGAAATGTTGGATGCGTTTCCTTAGACCTGCATCCCCTGTTCACCTATTAATTAGTAGGTACTCAGGTGTTAGTTGACTGTGGATCACATATTAACAATTCTGATGGAAATAAGGCTTGCAGTCCCTGGTGATGCATGGACTTGATTGGGTTATCCTGGGTTGTTAATGCTTTGGATTATAATCCAAACAAAATCTTATCTTGCATCACCTAGTCCAGGTCCTGTTATCCTTAACAAAATGGTGAATGATGAGCTTGTAAACATATTTACATGGATAACAATCATGAAATTCGTTTTCAGTATTCATAAGACCTACATATTGTTTGGCAATAAACTAAAAATATTCAGTTGAACATGGATAAATATTAGCTATTGAACAATGAAATGAGGGAAAATTATTAGGTGCACATTAACAGCAACTTAAACTTCAACACTTATCCAATACATATCTAAGAAAATTGACACTAAAATAAGCATGAAAGTCACTAAAGTAGAGGACACTGAAAAAGTACAAGAAGACATAAGCAGGGTTTTTCAGTGGGCAGTGGAGAACAACATGACGTTCAGTGGTGATAAGTTCCAGCTGCTTAGGTATGGAAAGAATGAAGAACTCAAAAGGAACACTGTATACAAAACTCAAGGGGATCATCAAATAGAACGAAAGAAACATGTAAAATACCTGGGAATAATTATGTCAGCTGACCTTTCTTTTAAAGACCAAAACAAGACAAAGCTCATGACAGTCAGGAAGATGATGGGATGGGTATTAAGAACTTTCAAAACAAGGGAAATAATGCCGATGGTGACACTCTTCAAATCGCTGGTGCTCCTTCATTTAGAATATTGCTCAGTGCTGACGGCTCTGTTCAGGGCAGGAGAAATATCAGCTAGAACAAATACAGAGACTGTTTATGGCTCATATTGAGCCGGTAAAGCACCTAAATCACTGGGACTGCCTTCAAGTCTTGAACGTGTACTCATTGGAGCAGAGGAGAGAGAGACAAATGATAGAGTTGTGGATGAGTGGAACAAGCTCCCGAGTACAGTTATTGAGGCTAAAACGTTGTGTAGTTTTAAAAATAGGTTAGATAAATACATGAGTGGGTGTGAGTTGGACCCGACTAGCTTTGCTGCTGGGTCTGGTGCAGTGCTCCATCCTTGAGTGTGGGATGACCAGACTGGGTGGGTCATTGGGATGATCTGGGGGGTGGGTCATTGGTCTAATCCGGGGGGGGGACATGGACCTGCTCCGCGCGGGTCAGTAGGCCTGT